AAATGTAGGCTAATAAAAGCAGTTATACAGATATACATGCACCTGTAAGCATCCCAGTGTTTCACTATGTTATTTATGAAACAATAATCTCCAACAAGTATCAGGAAAAAGAAATAAATAATGAAAGAAACAAAACTAAAAAGTCAGTCACGTGCTCCAGAGGCGTGGCTTTAGCCTACCTGTGTCAGGTGGTAATTCAGTTTACCTGGAACTGCCAAGATTGTGTTTCCTTATCAGTGGGGCTCGGAGCATTTTGGATTTCCTCCGTCTTTCGCTAAAGTGGGAGTTTGTGTGGAGGTTTTGCAGAGTGAGTGCTCAGAGGTCGAGTGTGGATGTAAACTTGATGCTGGTATTCAGACCCCGGGGGGGGTTCCTGAGGCACCTGAGGCACCTGAGGCACGAGCTTTCGGAGAGCTGCATGAGTGAGTCAGGCAAACCTACACGTAAGTGCAACGCTCACTCCTGACTGTTATTTCTGCTGTTCCATCGACACCCGTTTTGTAATGCAGTCATACAAGACCCACTTTCAGACAGACTGCAGAGTTCACTTGTGCGCGACACGTTAAAGTTTTTTAGGACGTTTGTGAATTGCAGTGTTTGTAAAGTGCGACTTGTGCATGGAAACCAAACAAGTCTACGTGTACGTTTATAATGAGATTCAAACTTTAATATTTCGCAGGCCTACGTCATTAGACGTTATAGCACTTGTTAGTTGTTTCTACGTGTTTGCTCGCTTTCTCTACACGAACACGTTCAGCACGTAAATAGTTCCCCTCCGTAGTTCCAGGCTTTATTATTCGCTCTTAAGGTTAATGTTTAGTAATGATAGCCTACCTGTGGTAAAGCACGCATGACTCATGGTTAAAGCAGCATGTCAAGCCATCCGGTTACCTGCTTCGTAAGTGTCTGCTGGCCTGTTGGCCTGTTTGTCTTGGGCCTATTGTGTGCCTCACTGAAATGTGATGCTGAAACGCTCTTCTGTGTGATCAAGCACCATAGTACAGTGCCCTGTGTTCATTTGGAGCTGCGTTTTACTGTTACTTGAGTTTTCATGTTAATAGTGATAGTTCATCAAAGGATATTATTACAACACTGTCAGTGTCAAAATGAATTGGCTATAGTCTTGAAATGCGTTCACTCATTTTATTCTGGCACAAAGACATCAATGCTCTTTCAGTCATCTTTCAGCACACAGAGAGGATAAGTACTCAGGATATGTGCTCATTGAATTATTCATCTTTGCTTTTGACACTTTTTCTTTCCCTCTGCTTTGTTCAACACACATTTTTCCTTTTAAAAAATGAGACTTCATTCGCATCATTTTTTTTTTATTCTTTACAAAAATATATAGTGCATGTATTTCCTAGACAGCTCTGGCAGGGGTAGTTATGGTGGGCGCAACAGCAAATACAGAGATTTTCATATCCATATAATTCTTCCGTGCTCCAGACTGCAAATCCTCCAATTGTCACTTCTTGGCCGCTCATCAGCATGAAAATGGAGCCTGATCTCTAAGCCCTATCAGCAGTTAAGAGGGAGAAGAAGTAAGACTAGGCCGTACCTTATTGAGCTGGTTTATGGAACACTTAGCGTGGGCCGCTCACATGATGATAGTGATCATCATGAGGAGAGACGCTACGCTTATGCAAATGTGCTCAGCTGACGGTCAGAAGCAGACTGCAGGCAGCGGGTTCAAATCCTTTCTCTTGACTGCCTTGCTATTAGACGAGTATCTCAGCTCAAAGCTTGAATAACCTCACAGTGCCAGAGTTTAATTTCTCTGCTTTGTATGGTCTACAGCCTCTGCTGAAGCGGATGAGCCGTTTACCTGCTCTTGTCTCAGTCCATCAAAACTTTTTTTTTCTCAGTCCGGCCTTCTTATCTCATCCAATTTTTGCTGCTGTGATTGATTTGATTAAATATTTACAATTGTTTTAGTCCATTCTAGGCAAGTAATTACAGAGGGCCCTGGAAATCACTTATTAGGCCTTGCTCAGCAAGGACCTCCCCAGTGCAGAACATAATTTTTTTTCTCTTCTTGCAAAGAACTTAAAGATCAAATGAAGAGTGATTTTATGGCATTTATTATGGATTTTTAGACCATGTGAGTGGTCAGTTCAGACATAGAGCAGAGTACCCTGAATTACCCCTCTGTTGATTCTGTTCATGAATGTTGTCCTACACCAGAACTAATTGGCCTTTCAGTCTCGTGTTCATGCTTCTTGGTTCTTTTGGCATCCAGTGTCCTAATGAGCACTCACTTCATTGTGGTTATTGGCCAGTTTCAAGCGTAGTTGCCTGAAACTCCCAGTGCTTCTGGCCAGAGCTCTGTTTGAAAACTCAGATTTCACCAACACAGCACTGTGTTGCTGCACACATACGCCTCCTTTGTAAAGACTGAGTGACGAATAGGGTGTTGTTCCAACTCTGCCTGGAGGCCATGAGGGTAATGTGATCTGCCAGAGCATTTGTACAATTCTATTAATGAAAATAATCTTTGTTTTCTTAGACGACTTAGTTTTTTTCCTTTTAAGTCTTCGCACTGATCTGAGAGGCACACATAGACGCTCTCGCCCACTCACCCAGTCTTTGTTTGTCTGGCTCACTCTGTCTATCTCTCTCACTCTCTACTGAGAGAATGCCCTTGCTTCAGGCTGTGATGGCTCCGCGTCACAGACAGACATTCCGCTGAGAGAAACGTGCTGTCTGTCCTTGAGTGAATCCTCAGCCATCAGGTGAATGAGCTTGGCTTATTCTCCCTCAGCTCTGCACCTGCTACGAGCCTACTGGCAACAGAAGCAGAGTAGATAACCCAGCGCTCCATTCAGTTTAAAGCTATTCACGTGTTTTAAAAGCGAAATAGCACATGTTCTAAGATGATCAATGTTCCTTTGGTCCCCTAAATGTACTCTGATCTGGCGAAAATCCATGATTTTATGTTCAAACAGGGAACAACTACTAGAAAATGGGCTAGTGAGGAGTGAGCAGTCATATGACGCCATGATTTAGCATACAGTGAACCACACTCAAAGCTAGCTAGTTAGCTAGGCTAAAACTTTGTCATCATATTCCTGGTTGTAAATTTTATTTTATGAGGTGTGATGCAAATGATGCATGCTTGAGAATATCTGGAAAGCTAAACAGAGCAATATAAAACCTTTTGTTTATGCCACCAACAGCATTTTATTATACTTCATAGAGTTGGACTGAACTTTCAGTTTTAGGGCCTGGTGAATGCCCAAGTTCCTTCATGCTGTGTTTGCTCTAGAGCTGCACGGCATGGACATAAAATACAGAAAAAGGGCATTGTACAGACATTTTTGTGTTCACAAAGGTACAAACAATGTAAATGTGCTCTCAAAACTGTAACAATGACCTTAAGCACCAATTGTGTACCTACATTCACTTTCCCAGGGGAAAGATGCATATTTGCACATAAAATAGAAAAGTACAATGAAAAGGCTGGAGTCAATGCAACATAAAAGTGTATATATATAGTACTGAAGACGTATCTTTGAGCCTCCCACCCCACTGACCGTTTACTACCTTTGCTACCTGTAATTTATCATGCAGTGTGCAATAAAGTTGTTGGCTATTGCAATGATATGACGAATGAAAAATTATGATTAAATGCACTGTCCGTTTCAGTGTGTCTCTGACTGCATGAGCAGTAACACATTCTTTTTGCTGTGTAATTAAACCAAAATCATATTAGCTGTTTTTTAAGTTTATTCAGCAGCAGATAACAGTAATGACATCACACTGAGTGTATAAATTTTATTAATTTTTGCAGCCCAAGTTAATACTGTTGTTATTTAGCCTAAACCACTGATACTGTCACTGCAACTCTTCTCTGTCTTTAAATTTGTCTTTTGAAGGATTTCTGAAAGTAGAAACAGCGACTGGTTTTGAAAGTTTTTCAGGATTGTTGGCAGATAGAAAGTGTTGAAAATGGGATTAAAATGCAATTGCTCTGCTCACAAGTGCACAAAAGACTTTTGTGAGAACTGCCAGATTCAACAAGGTAGTTGACAGTCTTGTTCAACCTAATGAGAAACTGAGCACAACTGGTTTAGAGCTAAGTTTCAAGTTTAAAATGCTGTGCTACCATGTCAGGAAAAAAGATACTGTGCAGGTACATTTTTGCATCTATCAAGGTACAAACAGTATAAAGGTGGATTTAATGTCTAACTGTATACCCTAAAAGTTTTTCCCAGGCCAAAAGTATGTATTTGTACCCTTTCATAACCTATTTTTTTAAGTACATCAATCAAATTGAAAGCTTGGAGTCACAACAGGAATTGTGGTGTCAATACAACTTAAAAAATGACTGCAATGAAATATGATAGTTATGTTCCCTAACTTAAGGTGCTAAAGATTTACCTTTGAGGGCAGCACCCCAGTGATGAGGGTAACACCCCAATGATGAGGGGTACCACCCCAATGAGAGTTTAGTACCGTTTTTCTGAATGTCCCCTTCATATTCATAGGTCAGTTAGCTTTAGAGGGCTAATAAAACCTCTACAAAGCCACCTTCAGTACAACCCTACAGTGCAGACTTAAGCTGAGCATTCAGATCAGATCAGTATTGAGGGTCTGTCTTATCAGTGTAGGACCTACATTTTCTGTACAGAGACAATGATTTATTTTAAGTAACACCCAGGGGGCAGGAGGAGTTGAAATGAGCTTGCTCTACTTGTTGCTCTCCCAAACTTATCTTCTCCTGCATAGCTCGGTCTCCATGGGGACTGAACTGGGGAGGGGGGGGGTGAGGGTGCTAGCTGGTAGTTTGGTTCATCTCTAGCTTTGTGTGCATGCTGGATAAGATCAGGTGTCCTGGCACTGGCCTCCCCTCCCTATCCGGATGCTGAGAAAGACCCATTTGTTCCCTATTTGGGCCTGTGGTACTAAAGAGACAATGAGTGCAGTCTCTGAGAGGATAGGGAGGAGGGGGCAGGAATCTGGGCTGATTGGAATATGGGTGTGTGGAGGAAGAGTGAATGCAGGGTCCCTCGCTCCACCGCCTCTCCAAGCCCGTCACCGGAAATGCAGATGGCCCTCAGGCTCCTCTGCTGAGTGGTACAGACAGGAGTGGGCGGAACTCTGCTTTACCAGGGGTGTTTACACACATCTCGCATTAAAAATACCTTCTCAAGACAGATCTGGATATAAATATTTAGCTATTTTTGGTTGCGATGAGCCCCACAGTAAAATGTGTTATCAGGGCTGCACAGTATATTGTTTGCTAATCGGTACTGTAATATCCAGCTTCACAATACTGATCGCAATAGTTAGCAATATGCAAATAAGCTTATAACTAATCACTGAGGGGCCTAATGTACTAAGCCTTTCACATTAGTTTCAGGTGTAAATAGGGTGCATTCTGCCCACATGTTATGTACACAACCGGCACACAAGCCTAAATGCACAGTTTATGGGTCATATGTATGAAAAAAATGCAAACATACACAGTATGAATTTAAGGGAGGATTGTGCAAAAAAAAATGCAAAAGGAGGATTGAGAGGGGAAAAAACAGGTGGAGACTGGAAGTGCAGATTATTATGTATATTAGATTTGATTTACAAAAGTTTGCGAAGCTAGTGGCAGCCAGTTTTGTATAAAAAAAAAAAAAGTTTAGGCCTGTCACAATCATGAAAATTTAGCTAATGATTACTTGTCATATACATAATTGCAATTAACAATTTAATGGTCATTTTTGTTGTATGCAACTATAAAATCATAAGTCTAAGGTGGCCACTGCTTCCCTCTAAACAGACATTTGTTTTCATAAGATTTATGATGTAAAAGTGTGCCTCGACCCAACTGTTTGTTGTGACGTAAACGTGATTGCAAAAGCTAACAACTGGGAAAATTAATTGTGCTCAGATTTATCGCAGGCCTTCCTTTAATCAAGTCACATCACTGATTCACCAGTGTGTTTTTAGCATATTGCAAGAAATATCATAATTGCTGTGTGAAATTTCTCCATAAACAAGATGCTATTAACAAAACGATAAGACAAATGCCCCAAGGGTCATTCACAGGTAACACGAACAACAAATAATGTTGATGTTCTGCAGTGTACATAAATAACAGCTGTAACTCTCAGTAAAAATCTTTTGCAGCAGCAGTCTGAAGAGTTAGAAAGGGTTTAGAGATAGGAGCTAGTGCTCCAGAGTCTTATGGCTTTGGGTTGGAAGCCTTTAAATCTAGAAGTACAGGCTTTTATGCTTCTGTATCTTCTGCCGAGGGGCAGGGCAAAGAAAAGTGCAGTCCATGGTGGTTGTAATCCTCAATTATGTCACTAGTCTACCTCATACAGCAGTTTTTTAAGATAATTCTGTATGGATGGAAGTTCAAATCCAGTCCACTGTAGCTTCACTAAATCAGGTCATTAAAGAAAAGGGTGGCCAGAGCCTAAAGCTACTGACCATCTCCACAGCCATTTAATCATGCTGACCATCTTTACTGATATACATCGGAGCATGACTTTTTTTCCTGCTGCCTGAAATGATCAACCAGCTTTTTAGTTTTACTGACTTTAAGCGAGGTTCAAGGTTGTTGTGGCTCATTTTATTTATTATTTATTTGTGTGTGTGTATATATATATATATATATATATTATATATATATATATATATATATATATATATATGTATATGTGTGTGTATGTGTGTGTGTATGTATGTATGCATGTGTGTGTGTGTGTGTGTACATATGTATATGTCTGTGCATGCCATAAATAGCCTAAACCAATAATTAAGTACAAGAATTGCTACTTCTGTCAAATAATGATGGAATATATTTGACCCTTCTTCTCTTTTTAGTGCACATTTTGTTTAAATTAATGATAAACCTCAAAAGTAAAAAAATATTACCAATCATGAAAAAGTACATAAAAAGGAATTAGTAACTACATAATAATGAGTGACATGTAACATGAATCTCTAAAAAGAGCACAATAAATTCCTTTCCTCACAGATATACTTGGAACTAAATAATCATAGTCATTTAAAAATACCCAGGAAAGTGCAAATTCATAAAAACTTTACTTAAGTACATGTATCCTTTCCTGTCCTGTTCTTTGCTCTCAATTTTTGCTGACAGTATTGAATTAAAGACCTCAAGACTGTCTTTTAAATATACTCATCATGTGTTGCCTCTGTTGATCAGTAAAATGTGGACAGAAACCTTAGTTTACATTTCAAAGAGTGCATGCTGAGATTCTGCAAATGCTCTTGGCTGGGCAGAAGGCTCAGACTTTGTTTATTAGCTGTGACGTATGAATAACAGCATCAATTGGAGCTTTCTGCCAGCCCTGACCTTTTCACTAGCTTTTTATAATCTTTCAGAGCTCGTTTTAAAATGTTAAGAAACAGCTCATGCTTTTGTCGTTGACCTCCGAATACAATCACAGTTAAGCTCGTGTTAGGGGGCTCTTTCTATGTCAAAGTAATTAGGTCATTTTTATATGCCGTTCAGAAGCAACACTGATATTCTCAGAGAGAGTTTTTTGACTGTGCAGATGTGTGTGCTCTGCGTCAGTGCAGGCATAAGAGGTGATCTGCAAAGCTGGCTGATGCCAGGCCATAAAACCAGAATAAGAGGCACAGAGTGATTTGGACTTCATTGACGCACTGAGCCCATCATTATTTTTCATTTTTCTCACTGAGTGAAGCCGAGTCATCTCTGCTTCACCTTTTGTCCAAGGCGAGATTTTTTTTTTTTCCATCACAGACAGCAGTTTGAGTGTTTATTCATCTCGGGCTCATTCAAATGCGGGCCGTGTTATGGAAAAGTACCCAGATGCACCTGCTTTGCCTAAGCAAAGCCAAACCAACAACAGTGACTGAAAGGGATTATGAAGAAATAAGGTATCCGTGATGTTTGGACATTACATACCTTCTGATGATGTAGTGTTTGCATCGGTTGTTGGCTGTGTTTGATGACTGTGTTGCACCATGACAGCAATTGTCAAAGGCTTTGTACTATGTTTACCATGCAGGGCAAGTTGGAACCAGCCATGGTCATTGAGAAATGGAGAAACCATACTCTGTAGTCTGCATTGACTGGCTTCTGTTGGTACATCTGATAACTTTATCATGGATAGTAAGCCAGCACAAACATCTCCAGGGACCGAACATGCAGGTCTGTCGAGCATAGACTAGAAAAGGGAGGACCTTAAGAGTCTGATTTGATTCTGCATGCAGTCATTATGGAACACCACACCTGTTGATGTCAAGTGAGTGGGCGTTTACCACTGCTCTTCCACAAGGGACATGTCACTAAATCGCCAGCGGAATGGAGGGAAAAACCCTACAATCCAGTACACTCATACACCCATCTTGTTCTTGGCTTGAATATATGGTTCTAGAGAAGATATTTTATTGGTATAGAACCTTTACATCTTCCTGACATCTTATTTACAAAAGTGTTGAAATCTGTTGAAAGAGATATAGAGAACCAAATGCAATTCGTCTATGGCATCTCTCCAACAAAAAAAACCTTTTGCACCTTTTTTTATGTCTATTATATATGTAGCATGTGTCACTCAAGTATTGTTCATTAGCAGTTTCAAACAGACCATATGAGACAAGTGTACTCGCACATCTAATTTATAAAAACGGTGCTTTAACAAGCCATTAAAAGTAGTAGTCACCTGTAATCAATCAGTTGTCTGGAAATTGTTTTGATGATTAATCAGGTAATCTTTTTTTTGGCTTATTTGAACAATAACATACTATGCAGAGCCTTTCAAAGATTCCAGAATACTGAAAAAGATAGGAAGCCTTTGGGGAAAAAAAAACAATATATGGCAAAAAATTTAACTTAATGCAGTTTCGGGCTTTTAATACTGCTCTGCTTAGATCAGCTCTGCTTAAACACAGACATTTGAAGCTTCTAACCGATTTTTGTGTTCTTTATTTTGTATGTTGCAAAGTTTTTTTTGTTTTACAGTGAATCCTTCAGTAAACTTAACTGAATATTATTAGAGTAGCCTGTCATTAGCTTTCTGCTGAGCTGTTCAGTCTAGACAGTTAAACAATATTGTTTCCTTCATATGCACATATACTTCACACAGTTTGTAATGTCAGACGTTTAATTTTACTTCATATATGCAATATTCGTTGCTACAAACATATGTCCCTGTGTAACATCCTGCTGGTGTGGTTTCCTCTGTTTCAGTGGTGCATACACAATGGAAAATTGAGTGCTAATAGCCCTAATAGCCCCTTTGAGGAGAATCTTGAGCCTCCCAAATGGCTTTATAATGACCTGCAGATACCCTGTTTATCATTTAAATTGCAGACTTATTGCTAAGCTGAAGTGTAAAGTTTAATCGATTCATTTTTTTAAAGTGGAATAATCTGTTATAATCGAGTATTTGTGACAGCCCTAATTGAAAGGCTCTTTATGGAACCCAACATGGTTTTTCTATGACATTGCCCCAAAGAACCTATTTTGGTACATTTATTTTTTTTTTTATTATTATTTTTAGAGTGTATCTGATTGCTCACTGCTGGAGAGGCTATGAATGACGTGTGGACAGTAGTTATATTCACACTCGATTTCTCTTTCAGGCATGATCAACACTCTTCACAGAAAAACAATACCACTGCCTTCGATTTTCAACTCCGGTGCCTCGGGACTCAGTCCAGTGGCTTAATGTTTTCCGCTGGGGGGAGTTCACAGTGGAGCTGTACCTCCAAACCCTGAGAAATGACCGTCATTTCAGCAGAGGCAAACGCCTGAGTATACCTGGGGTGGAGGTGGCTGAGGTGAAAGGCAAGGTTGCAGCTAAATTATGGCTGTCTTGCTTTGAGTTATTGACTGGGTTGGAGCTGAAGGCTTGAAGGGACCATTCTCTCCAAGTGAGGGTGGAAGACAAGTCCATTCATAAATCCAGACATGGTCCATTCTGTTATTCCTGCATGGGGTGTGACTGAGAGAGAGGATTCGCTTTGTGCTTCTGACTGAGACGCTCTAAACCCTCCAGAGTGCAGGAGAGTTGGCTGTGACTTTAGCCCTAGGCACTTGAGTGCATCACTTTTGATTGACAGAGGCCGTGGCCCCATGTGGCTGACCTTGCTCTGCCAGACGCATTTTTGGAGGTGTGAGAGCGAGGAAAATCTATTTGGCTTTTTCCCCTGCCAGGGTTGGGGTGACAGCCTCGTAACTCTTTTGGGTAACGGGTATAAAGCTGATTTATGGGCCTTGATGGCTGAACTTATACCCCAGGGCCCAAAACCCTTTTTTCATCTGAGGTGTCTGAGATTTTGCATCAGGGCCTGTCATGCAAAGGCCTAGTGTTTATCTAAGCAGACACAGTGAAAGTTATTTTGTGTGCATTTCTGAGATTTGGACTGTGTTCTGCTAAAACAACTTTTTGGAGGAAATATAAACCAATCTTTTTAGGATCCAAACATGGATTTTCAGGAAGTAAACACTTGTCTTATGGGGTTACATTGATATGCATGATTGTTTTACAGACACATCATGTAGACAGATGCTAGGCAGAAGAGGAATTTTATTAACTGCCATTTGGCTTCCCTCCATGTGCAAGTGAACTTTAAACCTTTCTGTTTACTTCAGCTTGTATGTGTTAGCGAGTGAATGAGTGGGAGAGAGAGGGAAAAGGAAGTACTTAAGTTATTAATGGACTTGGCCTTAATGCAAAGGACCAAACTGTAGCTGACCTAACTAACGTTTGGGCTTCGTTATCCAGGCTTAGCTAACTAGCTAACTAAAGATATCCTCTTACCTAACGTAAACCTTTTCTGATGCTGTCAACATGAGTAGTGAGACTACTTTAAACTTTGCATAACATAGCATAAGATCTTATATTGAGAACCAGGGAACTGCTAGGCTTGGACTGTGGGAAGCTTGACTTTTACCTGACATCTGCTCCCAGCAACACCAGCTCCTTTTTATCTGCCTCCAGGCCAGGATAGGGTCTTTGACTGCTGGGTGATGAATATACCTTAGTGGGTTTTTAGTGGGTAATTTGAGAACTCTTATTGTGTCTCCTATTTGCTTGAGGCTAGAGATGGCAGACAAAAGGGAACTGAGCCGATACCTAGTATTAGTATCGGGCCGATACCAGCAGAAAATGCTGGATCAGATATCGGAGAGAAAAAAAGAATGAATCTGATCTGATTCTGTAACAAATATAGCCTGAACGGTAGCATGACAATTCCTTTTTTTTAAATGGTCTAATGTTACCTGCATTTGTGCTGTGAGTGATTTGATATAGAGACAAAACAAATAGTAAGATTTTGATTTTGTATAAAATAGCTATTTATATGGCCAAAAATATGTGGACACTATCCTAAGTATTGACAGGTGTTTCAGACACTTCAATTGCTAACAGGTGTATAAAATCAAGCACATCGCAATGCAATCTCCATAGACAAGCAGTACAATGGGTCATTTGGAAGGGCTCAGTTACCTTAAATGTGGCAGTGTCATAGGATGCCTCCTTTGACACAAGTCAGTTTATGAAATTTTTGCCCTGCTAGATTTGCCCTGGTCAGCTGTAAGTGCCATTATTGTGAAATGTAGGCATCAAGGAGCAACAACAGCTCAGCTATGAACCACACAAACTCCCTGAACAGGGTCGTTGAGTGCTGAAGCATGTAACAAATGTAAAAATGAATCCTCAGTCGCATGATTTACTACAGAGTTCCAAACTGCCTCTGGAAGCAACATCAGCGCAAGAACTGTGCTTTGGGAGTTGCTTGGCCCTGGGTTTCCAGGGAGAAGCAGCTGCCCAGAAACCTAGGATCAGTATGCACAATGCCACATGCTGGCTGGAGTGGTGTAAAGCATGCCGCTTTGGGACTCTGGAATAGTAGAAACATGTGGTCTGGACTTATGACTCACACTTAACTATCTGGTAGTCTGGTGGATGAATCTGAGTTTGGCGGATGCTGGTAGAATGCTACCTGCCAGAATGCGTAGTGCCGAAAGTAAAGTTTGGTAGAGGAGGGATAATGGTCTAGGACTGCTTTTTAAGGTTCCGGCTCGGCTGCCTAGTTTAGCTGACGGGTAATGTTAATACTACAGCATACAAAGACATTTTAGACAATCACATACTTCCAATTTTGTGGCAATCATTTGGGGAAGACCCTTGCCTGTTCCAGCACAACTGTGTCCATGTGTACAAAGCGAGTTTCAGAAAGACATAGTTTTGACGAGTTTGATGTAGAGGAACTCCAGTGATCTGCACAGAGTCCCTTTGATTCAGCGTAGGCTCTGGGCTGATGTGCCTGTAGTTGAGACACTATGAGAACCTGGTAGAAGCTCATCCATAAGCCTGAAAGTGGTCTTGGAAAAGCAGCAAGCACTGGCCTACATCAGCACACATTGATTAAGCCTGACGTTGGAAAAGGAGCTAGGGAAATTGAACTGGTGCTCCAGTAGCCCCCAAATGAGTCATTCTGGTTCTCTCAGTAACTTGCTACCTCATGCAAAAATCCAAACCATCAACTTTGTAACACACAGCAACTCAAAGGGCCTCCTTTGACAAGGTCACATAGCTTCTCTATAGATGTACATGCACATAGAAATATTCCATCTAACACCAAAGTAATTTCTATTTGTGCATTGCAGATGATACAAATAAGCACAAATGAGGCAAAAGCACAATCATATTCCCATGCACATCACGTTGTGGCGTGTGTTGCGCAGAGTTTGTTCTTAATAAGCTCACCTCCTACCGTGTTCTTGCCAACAGGTGACGCTTGGTGATGCCAGTATGCCTGGAGAGACAGCACTCAAAGCCAGTCGCCATGGAAACACCCAAGTTTGCCCCACAGGAAGCGATGAAGAGGAAGATGAGAAGCAAAAGCACACTCCTCACATGATTGCTCAAGCCGGGTACGGGTCTGTACCTGCAGCCCACTGAAGCACTTTACTTAGATAGAGACCGCCTTGCACAAGATGATACGAAGGAAGACTCCAAAGAGTGGATGTCACTAGCAGACTTGAGCCGCGATGACTCCTCCTGTCTCGAAGGCTGTGTGCAGTAAGTAAACTTAAAAATGATTACGTAAAGTGAGCATGCTGTGCATAGACAATGAGTAGCATATGAATAGAGATGGCATCCGTCTGATATCCAGCATCGGGATCAGTCTGATACCAGAGGAAATGCAAGTTTGGCTATCAAAGGAAAAAAGAATGAATTCAGTCAGATAGTTTTAAAAAGCACATGCTAGCTTGTAGAGCAACATTATGTGAAGTAAAGTAGGTCATGTAATAACAATAGCCATATATAATCTAGAATTCAAATTCCTTATTTTAAATAATGCAATTTATATAAAAATATAAGAGAAATACACAAGAAATATAAGAAATATAAAAAAATCTCAGTTGCATAGTAATATTTCTGTTTTTTTTTTTGTTTGTTTTTGTGAAAGTTTACGAGTCATCTTCATTTGTCATGTTTTTGGCTATATATTTCTTCATGTTGGGTAATGAAGTGTTTTATCTGTTAGTTGGTGACTCATTATTAAAAGGAAAGTGTAATCCTGGGGTCTGTCTCATGGAGCATGATTTTTGCTTAGTCTCTAACTTTATTCTTTCTAACCCTGAATTTTCTGTCTAACAATGGTGGATCACTTTTTTCCTGGTTATATTACCATGGTAACACATGCTACATGACTAACCTGCTCATTAGTCATTCATTAAAAATCAAGTTAGATGTAGTATGTAGATGTTAAAGCTTCAAGATGTACAGTCCATACAGTGCAGATGTGGAAACTAAGCTGCAAAAACAATCAGCTCTGAATTCATTGTTTTCGTGATGTCATGAAAACCGATGCATTTGCCATATAGCCATCTTTTCAGCCTCCAGCAGCTTAACACTGCCCATTTACATGAAGTTGCTTTTTAAACGAGGCACAATACAAATCAGGCAACCTGTACCAAGCTCATTTACATATCAGTCTTAAAGGCAAGTAACTAAAACAGCCTATTTAATTCTAGTGGATACAAAGAGGTTGGAAAGTGATAGTATAAAAATAAAGGTACATTTTCTGGTACATAAAACAACACATATCTCAAAGTGGACCTCAAGCAGAAAAAATAATATATACAAGAAGCATGCAAAATATGGGTGCTTTCATAGTTTATAAAAGAAAGAAAACATCAGGTTGGTATCAGCTGATATTCAAAGTATTGGTAAAAAAAGAAAAAATTCTTGTGCCTTTATATATGTTTGAAAATGTGATGCATGCCTGCATGCATGTGTGTCAGAGCGGCTTCTTAAAGCATAGTGACAGTACTGTACTTTGGCAGTAGTGTGTGTGTTTTTGTGCAATAGTCCATACCTAGTGGTCAGTTTCTCATTGGTCTCTGTACCTGTCCATCAGGTTAGAAAGGAGGTGGATGCTCTGGCACGAATTCATGAAGGAATATTCTTCATTGGACGACTGGCTTCAGTCAGCAGAGAAATTGGCTGCTTCCCCAAACTCCAGCCATGTGCTGTACATCACTGCGAAAGAGGAACTGCAGAAATTTGAGGTGAACTGAACGCCACACTAACACTTCCACAGCATCTTTCTTGCTATTTGCCACCACATCTTAGAAGCTCACTATCAATTCCCCACCTCCCCAAAGTGTTCTTTTATCCTTCACTCCTTATTATGTAACTGATCCACAGTCAATGCGTTTTAGTCATTTTTGCACATTTCTTTTTTCCTGGTGAGTGAATGCTGGCAACCATAGTAAGACTATCGTCAAAGTGTGATCAGTAACACATGCAAAAAGCACATCTAGTAAGACTGTCTAAAACCCTGGGATCTCTTCCAATGGAACGTAACAACACCAAATGGTAATCGAACTCTTTGGCACGTCTCCTAAGCACTCTGCTGCCTGCAGGAGCTCCCTGGCACCTCCCTTTGTACCCACCCCCACCTCCCATTTCACATTCAAACTAACTGATATGTGCCAATCTGAAATAAGTTTGCTGTTTGTCTTAAAGGATTTAAATCTCTCAGAAGTATTACGTTTGATTACAGTTTGTAGGGAAACAATTTGTGTGTTACATAATCTCGAATTTCATTAAAATTTGGTTCAATCATTTTGACTTTGTTGAATTCTTCTTCAGAAAACACTGCATACATGTGTCCTGAGAAAGAGATTTAGTTTTTATTTTTACATTCGAAAATAGCCTGAGAAATTTATTTTGGCCAAAAATTAGCACATTCTTTATGGAATATTACTATAAACGTTTAAACAATTGATTACACCAAACATTTAAAAAATTGCAAAATTGAAGCAGTTAATCATCACCTTCATATCGATACATCATGATGTCCTGATACATTTTTAACCCCCGTTCTTAAGGCTTAGGAGTAGGAATTGGGGTCAGATCATTTTACCCGTAACCCTGTGTCCTGTGTCCCCAGAGTCTCCGCACTGAGGCTAGGCTACGCTTGGCCCAGCTGGACAGCCTGAGCCAGAGGAGCCGCATCCTACTGGGTCTGTTCAGGGGTGCCATGAGAACCCGATTGGTAGAAATGACCAAAGAATGTGGACGGCGTTGGGACCAGCTCAGCACCACTGTGGACTCCGTCTGCCGCCGGCTTAAGGTACACTGGCCTCCAGCGCTTCAGCTTGAGCTGTTTGTAAAATGATGTAACTCTGCATACTGAGACACACCACCTACTGTGCATGTGGTGTAGAGCTGAAACTCTTGAATCACTTGTTGATTGTTACTGCAGTATATGACCCTTAAAGCACTAATATTATAGAGGACTGCAATAAACAGTATGTGTTTTGTTTGCATGTGAAATGTTACACTCTACATACTTTTTTGGGTGTATAATTGAATGACTGTTAGCTTGGTGGCAAATACTTGTTTTCAAACTTGTTGTGTTAGCTATAACAGTAAAATCCAGGTCTGTAGTGTAGTATTTTAAGCCAGAAACTCAACACCATGTACAAACCGGATTCCAAAAAAGTTGGGACACTAAACAAATTGTGAATAAAAACTGAATGCAATGATGTGGAGGTGCCAACATCTAATATTTTATTCAGAATAGAACACAAATCACAGATCAAAAGTTTAAACTGAGAGAATGTATCATTTTAAGGGAAAAATATGTTGTTTCAAAATTTCATGGCGTCAACAAATCCCAAAAAAGTTGGGACAAGTAGCAATAAGTGGCTGGAAAAAGGAAATTGAGCATATAACGAACAGCTGGAAGACCAATTAACACTAATTAGGTCAATTGACAACATGATTGGGTATAAAAAGAGCTTCTCAGAGTGTCAGTGTCTCTCTGAAGCCAAGATGGTAAGAGGATCACCAATTCCACCATTGTTGCACAGAAAGATAGTGCAGCAATACCAGAATGGTGTTACCCGGCGTAAAATAGCAAAGACTTTTAAGTTATCATCATCATCAACCATGCATAACATCATCAAAAGATTCAAAGAATCTGGAACAATCGCTGTGCGTAAGGGTCAAGGCCGTAAAACTCTACTGGATGCTCGTGATCTCCGGGCCCTTAAACGTCACTGCACCTCAAACAGGAATGCCACTGTCAAGGAAATAACAGAATGGGCTCAGGAATACTTCCAGAAAGCATTGTCAGTGAACACAATCCACCGTGCCATCCGCCGTTGCCAGCTGAAACTCTACAGTGCAAAGAGGAAGCCATTTCTAAGCAAGCTCCACAAGTTCAGACATTTGCACTGGGCCAGGGGTCTTTTAAAATGGAGTGTGGCAAAATGGAAGACTGTTCTGTGGTCAGATGAGTCACGATTTGAAGTTCTTTATGGAACACTGGGACGCCATGTCATCCGGACCAGAGAGGACAAGGATAACCCAAGTTGTTATCAACGCTCCGTTCAGAAGCCTGCATCACTGATGGTATGGGGTTGCATGAGTGCTTGTGGCATGGGCAGCTTGCATGTCTGGAAAGGCACCATTAATGCAGAGAACTATGTTCAGGTTCTAGAACAACATATGCTCCCATCTAGACGTCATCTCTTTCAGGGAAGACCCTGCATTTTTCAACAAGATAATGCCAGACCACATTCTGCAGCAATCACAACATCATGGCTACGCAGGAGAAGGATCCGGGTACTGAAATGGCCAGCCTGCAGTCCAGATCTTTCACCTATATAGAACATTTGGCGCATCATAAAGAGGAAGGTGCGACAAAGAAGGCCCAAGACGATTGAACAGTTAGAGGCCTGTATTAGACATGAATGGGAGAGCATTCCTATTTCTAAACTTGAGAAACTGGTCTCCTCTGTCCCCAGACGTCTGTTGAGTGTTGTAAGAAGAAGGGGGGATGCCACACAGTGGTAAAAATGGCCTTGTCCCAACTTTTTTGGGATTTGTTGACGCCATGAAATTTTGAAACAACATATTTTTCCCTTAAAATGATACATTCTCTCAGTTTAAACTTTTGATCTGTGATTTGTGTTCTATTCTGAATAAAATATTAGATGTTGGCACCTCCACATCATTGCATTCAGTTTTTATTCACAATTTGTTTAGTGTCCCAACTTTTTTGGAATCCGGTTTGTAGCAAATCTAAGCTGTTCGATTGAATGGGTTTTTTCCAGCATTCTGTAAAGCTTGTAGATTCTGGCAACCGTTGCTATGAAAGATGGCATTTATGAACAGAACACAGATAGATCAGTTAACGATTGTCTTTAGAAACTCTTACATCATACATACATACATACATACATCATCTAAACCGCTTATCCTTCTGGGTCGCGGTGGGGTGCTGGAGCCTATCCCAGCTGTCATTGGGCGGAAGGCAGGACACACCCTGGACAGGTCGCCAGTCCATCGCAGGGCAGACAGACAGACATACACAATCACACACACACACTCACACCTAGGGGCAATTTTAGCACATCCAATTGGCCTGACTGCATGTTTTTGGATTGTGGGAGGAAACCGGAGTACCCGGAGGAAACCCATGCAGACACGGGGAGAACATGCAAACTCCACACAGAAATGACCCTGGTCACCCAGCCGGGAATCGAACCCAGGCCATTCTTGCTGTGAGGCAACAGCGCTACCCACTGCGCCACCGTGCCACAGTACAGAGAGTCTACTCAGAAACTCTTGATTAGCTTAATAATGTGTGTTAGATTTGTGGTTAAAAGTGAAATCTGTAGTGAGGTAGACATCCAGAGGGTGAGCTGGTTACCACTGCTCTATTTTAATCCCTATTTTCTCTTCACCCATGCACCCTTCCTCAAACAGCCCTCTGCCCGGCCTTAAATACATGTCGCAGTCCCACTCTTTCACCCACAGTGGCCTCAGAAAGCCATTAGCCTAACCTGAGCCTAACCTCAGCAGGCCTGCCCATGACTGAACTTCAAGCCCATGTGTTGTTAATGTCAGCATTCTTTTGCCCTTGGGTCCAGGACATTGATTTGTCATGTTGTATTTTTGATGACTCTCTTCTCAGGCCTTGCCCAAAAATACTCACTGTAAGACAGTGTAAGTGTGTGTGTAAGAGTGTAGACAGTCAAAAAGAAATTCCTGATGTCCTGTCTGTGTGCCTGTGTTTGCTGCAGCACTTTGTGCTCCAGCGAGAGGACTTTGAGAGGCAGAGGGAGGAGATGGCTGTCTGGCTGGCAGACATGGATCTGAGACTGACCGAGGTGGAGCACTTTTCTGAGAGGAACACCTGTGCCAAGATGCGGCAGCTTCAGGTAGGCATTAATTTTTCACCCAAATATATGGGATACTCTCACGTAGTATGAGGGAGCATATGAATATTTCACATGCATCTGTGTGGGTGCGTATCAGGGCTTCCAGCAGGCAGTGGCTGAAAGTGCATGTCGTCTGAACGCATTGCTCGAGCAAGGAGAAGAGCTGATCCAGCGGAGTGAGCCGGCTGATGCTCAGTCCATTGAGAGCCAGCTGCAGGAGCTGCTGCTGTACTGTGCTCGCGTCTTCCAGGGCCTGGGCCGCCTTCATACACGCCTTCTCAGCATGAGACTGGTGACTACCATCAACCACTCCTACAGACACAAACACACAGCTTTATTCAACAGTTCACTTTAAGGGTCAAGTTAAAATTGATACACTGATTAACTTCATGCTGGTCCAGCTTGACTCTCAGCTGCTGTACTGTAGATGCACCGAAGTGTTCTCTGAAATTTAAATTTTCTCGCTGTTACTTTTCAATGAAGTGAGGAACAATAATATAAAGTTTAGCTATTTGCCAGTACTTTGTGGTGTTACAGCACAGCTTTGTGTTCATTACTGTGTCTTTCAAACTAAACTAAGCACAAATTAAAATTCTTTTGGTCTAAAGGTTTTTATACTGCTTAAAGGTTATAGTGCTGATCATGGCTGACATTACAATAGGGGGATGAAATTCATAGGGGTTTGCATTAGTCCTGAAATAGTTCAGTCATGAATATTGTCACAAACATATACATATAACATTGTTTTCCTCAAAGTAAACTTGGATAGTCAAAAAATGCAAAGACAGTGAAGCTAATGTAAGATGAAGGTGCTCAGTGAAGTGAGGTTCAAAGTCATGCACAAAAAGTAAACATCCATGGCATTTTTTTTTAGAGCCTTTACTAAAATACGGCTATGGACAATAAAAAAAAAGGCTCCCTGCTGTGTTCCTCTGTGAGCCTTTATCATGCAGAGTATTTAGAACAAACACGACAAAGGTGATATAAATGAGTTCGTCTGATCAGTCACATGACTTTGCCCAGTACCAAATCAACATTTCACAAAGCAAAATATATCATGTTAAAGGGGAATTCCACTGATTGTTTTCAAACTGTCACAAGTACACAGTCTTTTGGAGTGGTTTGTTGTAAAATGTGCCTTTCTAGAAAAACTTAACAAATCAGAGTTAATGACAGTTGTGGTGATAGGAATCAGACGTCTCTAAAAGCTGCCTCACAGAAAATTATTATATGAAATGGTTATGAATATGTTGCCTGATGCCCGAGACATTGCTTTATCATAGTTTTGAGAGAGATTACATAGATTTTGGCCTAAAATTTCTTTTAAAATCCATTCTAAATAGTGCACAAAGAAATGTGTTCTCTTCAGAGTTACTGCTGTTTTAACTTTATCAACATTACATATGAAAATATCATAAAACATGTAGGTTCACTGATCGCTTTGAGAATACAGTGGCTGAATATAATTTACATAAAATGGGTGTAATTATGTAGTATTTATGTAATGCTAAAACAGTGCCATGGATATTCACTCAGAACCTATTTAGTCTTTAATATGTTAACTTACTGCAGAGTGATTAAGAAAGCATGATCCTCTGTATGAAAGAAATGACCAAAACTTTTGACAAGCAGAGTAAATCTTTAGTATTTTAGAAGACCTTGTAAGGAACCAACAAGTCTGGTTTGGTGGTTTCTCTGTTGACAGTTATGCTCTGTTAAGTTTTATTGTAGTTTTCCAAAGCATTACACCACAAAAATGTCATGGTAGTCTGTCCCAAAGTCACATGTTTTTGAGCATTTCAGGGTGAAAAATCATGAATATGTCCCTGAAATAGTTTAAATAGTTGTCTTGAAGCCAAGCAGCCCCTGTATAATACATGTACTGTCCATGTGAACAAGTTCTCTGTATGGGCCATTGTTTCTGTAGGCTGGAACAGATCATGCTGAAAATGTGCTGCATTGACGCTCGTTATAAAGTAGGCATGTAGAGGTTATGGAGTCACACACCGGACATCCAGTAATGAATCGGCAGTGTGTGTGTGCTTCCCACAGCTTTGCACATTTTTGCGTGAGAGGTTTTATGTGTGAATACTGGAGTGGAAGAGTTTAAAGGGAAGTCATGTGAAGTCATCTGGGTGGGAGAGAATGCAATTTGAATTTTTGAGTTTGAGTAATGATTTTATTCAGTGAAGCCGTGATTCAAATCTACTGGTCCTAAAACTTGGCTTCTGAGACTCCGTTATGTAATCAGAAAAGAAAAGAAGTCTTAACTTCTAAATTAAGGAGGCAGCCTCATAAGGCTAGATTATCCTTCCTCCGAGTTCTCTCACAATTAGCGATGTTCAAGTCAACCCTTCTGCTCATCTTATCCTGAAGCACAGTAAAAACTTCTTAGTATGTTTTTTTTTTTTGACACATGAAAGGAGGTGATGTGTCCAAAACGTTATTGTAACTGAGGGGGTTAAAATGCAATTTTCAACACAGCCTCTATGTGTCTCCTATAGATAAAATTTATTGCAACTGATTCTGACTGAATGTGACCAACTTCTCAAGTACTGTAACTAAAATGCCCAATCCCATTTCTTATTTTTACCCCTACCCCTTGTTTGAGTTTTACCTGGCCCTGAATTACAAGGGGTAGTGGTTGAAATCGTCCCCTACGAAAAGGGACAGCCCTCAAATAAAAATGAACATTACTTCATTAACAGGCTACTAGTGGCGCTTTGTAGGCGACCCTGACCGTCTGCAGTGACAGCAGAGGAGGGTTAAGTTCAGCAACCTCACTGCTGGTCTTTAATTAATTTTTGGGGCAACATATGACCCAAAGAGGGGGGATGCGACAGTTATTTATCATCGCCCACCCATAATTCTTTGGCGATATGAAGCTGAAGTCAGCTATTCGCCAGCTTGTTGTTCGAATTTTCCTGTTACACCTTAAATGGAGCAGCAGTTCTGATGCCTGAGGTGCCAAAATATAACAACTGCACCATTTAAAGTGGAATGGGAAATTTAGCTAGCTAGCTACCGAGACATCAGCATACTACTTTTTATGCTTGTTAAGGAAGAAAAATATTGAATCGACATTAAACTAAAATAATACAATGGTTATCGTAATTTTTTTAACTTAGAAAATACTCACGTTTGTGGGTTTCTTTTGTTGCATGTGCAGCCATTTTGCTGTTTTTTCTTTTTCCTTTAATGACACTGTTTGGATTGTGCCTCTGAAAAACCTCTGTTTGGAGGGCCTTGTAGCCCTAACACTTCGCCCTACCCCTCTATCTCGACAAAATTCGGGACACCCTACTCCTAGGTGTGAACGTGCAAAACTGAGTGGTAGGGGCGAGGGGTGAAATAGGATTGGGCCTAAATAAGATTGTAAATTAGAATAAAATATGAGAAATTCTAAAAGATAAAGTTAGAAAACTAAGATAAAAATAATCTGGCAACAAAAATTGTCTCTTGGTTATAAAATGTCTGTGAGAAAGACAGATACACTCAAAATGCATCAGATTTTGCACTCCTGCACAAGTTCCTGTACAAGTCATGCACTCCATCTGATAATGTCACTTTGGATCATTTCTGTTGGTCCATTCATGATTAACTGTTCATATAAAGTCATGAGATTTTCTTATGACAGCAGTGATCAGTATCTGTTGACTGTCTTTCAGGTGTTTGAGGAGGACTGGCCTTTGTGTCCTGACTCAGGATGCCCATCTGAGACAGTGCTGGAGGAGGATGCTGTGGTTGATCACAGTACATCTCCTCCAGCTCAGAACAGCACTGCTCAGCTCTGCCATGAGCACCTGGTCCTAGAGTGGGACCCCTCAGTGGACATCGGGGGTTCCATCTCCCACGATGATGCAGACTCCTCTTACTTCAGTGCTAGTGCAGGTGAGCTCTGGACTGTAAAATGTTAATTTTTTAAATGCAAGGCTATTTTTCCAATCATTCTGATGTGTTCTGAATCATTAACAACCCAGTACTCACACTACTGTTCTAAAGTATCACTGTTCAGAAGTTTGGAATCAATATATAAAAACTAATCTGGTTGGTAATAAATGTGTAAAATATGTTTTCAGTTCGGCTTCACATTTTTTAAATGATTAGTAGGAAGCTGGACAGTCACAAAGAAATAAATAATAACTAGAAAGAAAAAGTTCATGAATGAACTTGAAGTTGGCTTCAAAAAGCCTGCTAATTACGTTAAAACATTACATTTTTGAAGGACTGTTAATGGTTGTTAGTGTTGCTTAGATGTTGTGAAGCAGTTGCTATGGTATCCAAAGTGGTTGGTAAGGTGTTGCTAGGTGGTTGCTGTGGTGTCCCAGGTTGTTGCTAAGGTGTTGCTAGGTAGTTGCTATGCTATGCAATACACTGGTGCCTTAAATTCAATGCCACCATAAATCCACTGTTACCCTAAATCCACTGCCACCATTTTTTAAAGTGTGGAATAATAATAATAATAAGAAGAAGAAGATAATGAAGAACAGTAAGTTGCCTTTTCCAAACTAACTTAATTAAAAAAATAATTATTTTTAGATGTATCTAGAATGATGAATGGCACTGCAGATGATTCTAATGACTGAGGAAGCTGTATAGCAGCAAGAATTAGGTTAGCATTACATTTGTGCTGGTGTTCAAATCTCAGAATTATTTTTAAAAATTATTGGAAATAACAATGACAGTAACTTCAACTTTTTGGTGTTCCCGAAATAAATAATGAATTAATGAATAAAACCTCAAAACAAAGTAGATTTAAATAAGTTATTATTGCATTAAAATAAGTTCAGTATTTCCGTGCATTTGAATCCATAATGTGGTCAATATCTACACAAATTTATCTTAAACTGCCACGATAGCATAAGGTCAGAATAGTTCACTGACAATAGTAAAATAATAAAATATAGTTTCTCGTATTTTGATATTTTGTTTGTAACCTGTCTGAAAAAGTGGATGAGGTAGAAGTGAGGGAGGAAACAAGGTCATGCATTGAAAATTACAGTTTTAAAAAATTTGATACCTACATTATACTTATGTAGTCAGCATCTACTGTGAACCTATAAAAACAGTTTTTCTGTCGTTCTGTGATGGCAGTTCAAAGGTCTTGTTTTGCTGTTGTAATCAACCTCTTTCACATGCTAGTTATGTGTTTCAGGCCCAGTGCCCTGTATAATCCTCTTTTCACGCATGTCCCCGTGCAGCGTATCAGTTTATTATTATCTAAACGAAAGGCAAATCTCCTCTGACTCATCGAGGGCATTAAAGGTTATCTTTCTTCTTTAGGTGTCTGCAGCGCAGAGGAACTGCTTACCAAAGATCCTCTGAGGAGGAGAGCTTACCTGAGTCCAGCGGACTCGCGAAAGGCCCAAACATGTGTCCAGCAGCCGGTGAGCATCCCCTGCTACTGTCCCACAGCTGGGTCCAGCCAGCTCTTATTTAGATTGTGTACAGTGAAACTGCAGTTAGTCAAGGAGATTGAATAAGCTAATGGTAATCTATAGCGACATAATGTATGTGCATACATTTTCCTGGAAGCAACAAATGCAATTGAAATGCAAAACCGAAGGGAGGGGTGCATGCTTTGAATTTTTATATTGATAATGAACTGTACTCACAATGAGTAATGTGTCAGGCATCCATGCATCTGTTGTGTGTGTACCATGTGTTTAGCACGCATATGGGTTTTTGCATCTGTACATGTGGGCACCAGCCAGAGCGAGAACTCAGGTGTAGTATATGGGAGGTGATAATATGACAATGTTATTGTTATTGTGATGAGTTATGTCATGACTCATTTTTAATGTACATCATAGATATTATCAGCGCTTCTAGAACACTGAACGACTGCATGTATCATAAAAAGACAGATCTAGGCAAGTTATAGAGAGCTTGTAAATCACAACTATAAGTGCATAGCAACTTTAGTAGCTGATTGGATGTCCATTGTGCCATTATATTTATTTATTTGTTCCACTTATTATAAAAAATATTTCATCAGGTCAACCTAAACACTTCATATGGTAACAAGCAAAGTAACTGTTTCTATTCGTCAATTAAATGCTTTAATTAAAGCAAATCAAAGTAAAATAATACTTCAGGTAAACAAAAGCAATGTTTTAATCAGTCTGTCACTTTTAATCAGCTTCCTATATTGTACTTTTTACAGTGCTTGACAGATTTTTCCCTCCTCTTCCTTTTTAAAAGTTTGTTTTTGTTGTATATTAGCATTGAATAAAAAAATGACTACATTTAGTTTTTGTTTAGTGTTTAGTTGAAAATATCCTCATGTATCTTGCTGTCTTTTTTTTGCCTTTTCAAAATAAGCTTTATTAGAGATTTCAAGTCATTACATCAATATTAATACATTCAATCTTTAGATTGTTGATAGTTGTTTAGATGTTGTTGCTGAAACATTTGTTATTAATATTCTTTATCATTTTGTATATGCTTTTGCTTGGTAAGCTAGCCCAGTCTGTTTGCAGTACTTCATATTTTAAGGTAAAATCTCCAAATAATAGCTTGTATTATGTCAGGATTTGTCTAGGTTTTCATCTTTTCTTGCACTTTTTTTTTAAAACCTACCCAATAGCACTTTGTTTTACTAAAAGCAGTTTTTAGTTTTAAACCATCATCTACTCCAAGGCTATGTAGTTTTGTACTCCATTCATTTGTATATGATTAGTCACCTCACATGATGATTAGTCTGTGATGATTTGTATATGATTAGTGGCATCACAGCAATAGGTTCTGTTGACCACATACTGGCACTCTGTGATGTTTGTGGGGTTTTTTTGTGTTTTAACATCCTCTTTAATTGCTTATGAACAATGTAAGCATTCAGTCTTAAATACAGTTCCTCCTGTAGTACAGTCCTAAACACTACTTGGGCCTTTCTGGTGGTTTTTGATTCAGCTGTTTACAACAATGATGGTATAAACAGTTGGTAAACATTCAGATAAAGGTTCATACATTTACTGACTGTTATTGACTGTTTTTTTTACTACTATCATTGAAGTTGAACATTTTTGTAGTTACTGAAGTTGAAATGAGGCTGAATTTTGATTGTTGCCTCCTTTTCCAGGTCACAGAGAGGAGCTTAGAGGGTGTGGCTCCACCCCGGGCCCCGGTGCCAGGTAAAACCATGGCTTCTGATTGGTCACTGCCGTAACGATGCCAGTGAAGGCACTGCTTATCACAGCTTAAGACGTGATCAGCGTTAGACAGCTATGTGTTATGGGCTGCCCTCATTATGGCTGTTTTTCCAATAGCCTTAATCCGAAAATCTAACCAAAGTGGTTCATCGTGGTTCTCAGCATACTTCATGTGTTTATCAAACTTTTGGATTACATTATCATAGAAATACAGTAGAAGTTTTTAAAGGAGTTCTATATCCTGAAGAGAGTAAGTAATCCAGGCACAGCTATTTGTAGAGCAGATCCAAAGCCACATTTTAGAAAGGCTCCCCATCCTGTACTGTTTGTTTGTCCTGGCAGACGCTGGCAGGCTGCAGTACGATGGGCTTTGGAAAACCTCCACTCCAGACTCGCACTCGCCTGAGCCTGTCACCTTTGACCCTGAGCGCATCAGTGCCTGGCTGGGCCAGACGCACAGGCTTTGCTCTAAAGCTGTCCAAACAGAGCTCGCTCCACAGGTACTGTCCACACCCTCAACCAGAATCACTGTCGTCCTGTTTGTTTAATGTTGTTTGGACTTGACTGTTAAAGCACCAGGGGTGGAAAAAATACAGAGAAATTAATGAAAGTTTAGGTACTGTGTCAAAATCTTACTTAATTAAAAGTAGATGTCTGGAGCTTAAAACACTGGAGTGAAAGTAAAAAAGTATTGGCATTTGTACATGCTCTGGTATAGTAAAGTAAAACATATCTAAATGTTTTAACACAGTACAAGCCTTCCTTAATACCTAAGTATAAGAACCAAGTACAAATACTCAAGTATTTTCTGACCCTGTAAAGCAGTTGATGGTTGATGAGAAGCCTCTTCATGTTAAGTAACATGTTCATCAGTGTTTATTGGCGCGTTGGTATATTGCATCAGTTATTACATTTGTTTTGCTATACTATTCAAATGTAATTACATTTGTAATTACATAGTGAGCTATGCAGTGAATTACATTTATATTTGATGTTTGAGTGTGCTTGTCTTCTTACTTAATTAAAAGAACACTGGAATGAAAGTAAGTACCGATATGCATGGCCCCCCCACAAACCACCCTGGTTTGTTTGGATGTCGATACCAAAAACATGGCAAAAATGTAAAGGCATTTATTGTGCAAAACAATAACTTTTTTTGTCAATTTATAATCATATAAATATATATTCTTTTCAACTTACAAACACAGAGGTGATATTTAATTTAAAGTATAGAACCTGTACTTTTGGCAGAATATTTACTCTTAAAAACCAAAAAGTAGGCAAGTTCTTCTAGCAGTTTTCAGTACCCTGCTAATATTGTGTGTTATGTGACGACAAACTGTAACATATGAAATAATCTGTTTATAATTTCTCATACCTGTTTTCTGTAAACTGTCCACTCTATAATTACATCAGATGGAGCTGACTAGAAACATTAAATCTAACTTTTAAGGTTCTTCCTTTTCTTTTATTTCTTGTTTATAATTCCTGTGGACATTTCAGTAGACATGGCATTCTCCTTCATCTTAATGCTAATATGTTAAACTTCTCAGATCTTTTATCTTTCATTTCATTCACAGTGACTTAACTAATATTATCACCCCTGTCATGGGATTGCATGTTTAATTGTTTGACACTCTTAAATGGTTAATGTAATGTCAGTGCTGTGATGCAGCAGTGTAGATTGTAGGCTGGGTGTACAGTTGCATGGGGAATTCTCCTCAAATCACATTATGGCAAAGCATGCAGGCATAACGTCACGTGATGCAGGCATAACGTCAGCGCTTCGGTCTCTGCTTCATTATGCCCACCGCACTTCTTCTCTTCTGCCTCCATTTTAATACATGTCACAGTGACTCATCAGACTCATGTTTACTACCTCAGCTTGCTTGTAAACATGTTTATATTCCGTCCCCTAAAAAGCTCATAAATTAGAATGGCCTATGTGAGGCAAAAGCTGTGTTTTAGAAGCACCATAAAAAAAAAAAGAAATACTCAGAATATGAGAGATTTTTTTTTTCCGACCCACTAATTAAGCCGTTTGAAACAAATCTACACCATCTTGACTAAAAAGCACTGCGTTTGTTGGAGGGATGGAGGGTGGTGGGCTGGGGGGTGTTCCTGGGAAAGAAAATTTGCTGGGCTGATGCAGAGGCCGATTGCCCGCTCTAGACTTGGAAGAACCTCGGCGAGAGAGAAGCCATTTCCATTTCAAAGAGGCTCTCGTAATTTCTCAGCGCTGGCGGTTAATTGGCAGCTTTACAGGGCTGGAAAAGGGAGCCGCAGCGCTAACTGGCTCTTTAATGGCTGCCGTAATTGTGGGCGCAAACATAAAGCAGCACACAGCGATGGGGCAAGAGCGCCCGCTCTGCAAAAAAATCACCAGGAGGTGTTACTGGAGGGGCGGAGGTTTATGCATACATCCTATGAGAGAAGTAGAATCTGTAAGTGTGAGAGAGTGAAAGAAGGAAAGAAAATGGAGTGAAACCCCTCATTAGTTAATGGAACCAGGCTGTGTTTGTTTACGCCTACTCTTTTGTAGCACAGAGATGCTGTCACATGCAGTGATTGCCATGTTGTCCGGCTCTTGGAACTCTGGGCCTGTGAGCGTTTTGTTCTTTGTGTGCATCCTCACAGCAGTGCTCCAGTTTTACTTCATCACCATCCACCCAGGAGGAGGAGAGGAGGAGGAGGTGGGGGGAGTGGAGTATCTGGAGAATGTGCTCCCCAAGAGGCCCCCCTACTCATTGCAAGCACAAAACATGTGTTCCACTCAGTCAGGTGACCTTCCACCTCACTCCAGCAGCTGTCATCCAAACCCACAGGTGCATTTCTCCTCCCTCTCTCTTTCCCTCTCTATCTCTCCCCCACCCTCATACAGGTTGTATTCTCTCTCTCTCTCTCTCTCTCTCTCTCTCTCTCTCTCTCTCTCTCTCTCTCTCTCTCTCTCTCTCTCTCTCTCTCTCTCTCTCTCTCTCTCTCTCTCTCTCTCTCTCTCCCCCCTCCCTTATATATATTGTTTATTCTCCTCTCTTCCTGAACTCTGTAACCTTGTCCTTCCAGCCTGCAGTAACACTGTAGGTCATCGCAGACATGTTTGTCTAATGGCCATTTTTTGCAATTGTCTGAAAGTTTGGAATTAAAGACCAGGGTAGTGGAGTATGGCAGAGTTGACTCCTTTCACTTGATGCCACTGATTTTATGATGCACTTTGCACCTCTAAACCCCCTGCATATAATTATACTCGTAATGTTTTCTGATTGCAAATTGCTCATAAACCGCCGAGTCCCTGTGGGGTTCCTTTGTTAATCTCCTGCCATTCCAATCTTGTCTCTCACTTTCACTAGTGTTTGAAGAGACCGTGCTCCAGTGACTCAGAGGAGGATAGCAGCCGCAATAAGACGCATCGGTGAGCGAACGTTTAAGCGCCAAATCTGTCATTTGTGGAACAATATGTTGCTTTTATGATGTTGGTTTTAATGGCCTATTATTCATTTACTGTGTTCCTCCCACTGTTTACATACTTACTTTTGCTAAATTAGATTATTGGTTTTTATGTGAATGAATGGAGCAGTTGTCATCACTATACTAGAATTAGTCATTTATTTATTTATTTATTTATTTATTTATTTATGGGTGGATGCTAGTTGTTCATCATTATCGCAACTTGAGTTCCCAACTAACAAAATAGCCAGTTCCCATTTAAGACTTTTATATATTCAAGACTGAAGATAATCTTGACTGGTGGAGTCACACGTTGTCCAAATCCTAGAAAAAAGGTACTTTTCAGATGTTCTTCACTGAGCAGAGAAAATGTAATGAGAATGATTTGACAAAGTGAAGTCATATGGTTTTCTTGCCCAATGAATCCAATTTGCTCCAAAAATCAATTTAACTTTAATATGACATTAGGCCATATATTGGCTTGAGCATGGCCACATCATTACGCACTTAAGTGACAGAGTAAAAGTTCTTTAAGGACAACGTGACTGTTTAGGTTATGAAGAGTCTGGTTGTTCTTAAGGAAACATTGTCTAAGGCTAAATACTCATTGGTGCTCAAGAGATTTGCTACAAGAGGAAAGTTATTTATCAGTGATGTAGTGGCTAAATGAGTGTAGTCATCAGATTTCCAGCTCAGGAAAAGAAGTAGTTGAGTAATCCAGCTAACATAAGCATGAAGGTTTATGTTATATTTTCCAGCCTGCATAGTTTTGATTGGCCAACATAGACAAACAGGGTAGCATAGCATCTTTTCAACTGGTCATTCAACAGAGTGGCCTACAATTTCTCATTAGGTTGAATTGAATTTTTTTTGCCAGTGGTTTGTAAAAACTTGTCCAACTTGGCAACAGTTGCTACAAAAGACTGCAATGGGGGTGGATGAGCTCTTTAGCTGAGAACATAAAGGGGATATTTAGAGTATCATCCAGGGCAGGAGTATTCAGCTCTTGTCCTCAAGGCTCAGTGTCAGTTAACAGATGAGTGGAATTTGATGTGTGTTTGAGCAAGGAAATGTTCAAACTGTGCTGGACACTGGACCTCCAGAACCAGAGCTGAACACCCCAGATCCAGAGTATCATCAAAGGCCATAACTCTTTTTCATAATACGTGTTGCTGACACAGCATTTAGAATGATTGCAGTTATCTACTTCTATTCTCCTGCCTCTCTCTCTCTCTCTCTCTCCCTCTCTCTCTCCCTCTCTCCCTCTCTCCCTCTCTCCCTCTCTCCCTCTTTAGTGGTCAGGTGGTTTCTGCAGATCGTTGTGGCCCCTGGTCCCAGAGAAGCTTCAAACTAATGGATGTGCTAAGAGCCCCAGCTCTGCTCTATGTTCTGCTGGCTCTGCTGCTGGTTGTGGTGATCTGGCCCCCCGCAGTGCTCCAAGACAACCAGTGCCACCGCTCCAACTCTCTGGAGCGCTCTTTTCACTTTGCCCTGCGCTACGTCAACGGACCACCTCCAACCTAAGGACAGCAGGATTGTTCCGTACCTTAAAAACAGCAGCTTATAATGTTCTGAAAGGAGAGCACTGGGACAAGAGCTGTGTCTGCCATGTGGCATTGGTCTTATGTATATTTGTTGTACTTGACACTGGCACGTTTAGGCTCAGAAACTCAAGGAGTGTGCTTATTGATTGAGATTGGTATTTGTGTAAACTAAATTTTGAGCCGTCACACTGGCAACATTCTCTTCGTTTACCTATTAAGGCACATCTAACTAGATACATGTAGATTTGGTTAAGTAAAGGCCTGTGCATAAGCCAAACATTCAGTGCTAAAATGTCCTGTGTAAGTCTAATTTGTGGGACCAGATTTCACAAAAATACAATTGGGGAAATGTTATGGGCATTCAGCACTGTGTTTACAAAAGCAACTTATGGCATTTGGGAATGAAGATGACTGAAGAGTTGTATAGCATATTATAATTACATACAAATTATTTATTAATATTTTTAAAAGTATAAATAATGTCAATTAAAATGTAGCCTATTGTATGAACTGTTTGAGAAACCTCCATGCAGAAAACCTGCAAGACAGAAAACCTTTTTTGGGTACTGCAGAAAAAAGAAGCAGAACCACTACTACATGAAGCATTCTCTGTTTACTATGCTGTCAGTAAACTCCTTGTGCTGTCTGTGGCACCAATTCAGCAACATCGGACTTAAAATCATGTGTTCTCCTTTTTTCTTTTTTTCTTTTTTTATTTCTGTCACATCAACATCCTGCTGTAGAATTTCACTGTTTTGGTCTCTATGTGGAAATTTGGAAGTGTGTGAGGCAACCTTTATATGATGCACATATGGAATATATGCTCAGCAAAAGAGTTGCTGCAGCATTTTATTCCCTGAAGCACAGATTTCACTTACTACATTGCTCCAGCTAGGGCTGTCACAATCATGACGTTTTAATTGTTATGAATGCTATATGAATAATTGCGATTAACAATTTAATGATATTTTAATGTTCATCGTAACTATAAAGTACAAGCCTTAAGTGGACAAATTAGCTGATAAGCTGTTGATACTTTGTAGCTCCCAACTCATGACAGAAACAGCTTGAGCTCAAATAAGCATAAACATTACTCACTGCTGCCCTCTGAATGTGTTGTACCACCAAGTCAGAAGTTAGAGCTCTTGCTGTTTTTGCATTCTCTTTATTGTGGTGTAAACATGATTGGGAAGGTGTGGGAAAACAAAATTCTTGTGGTCTGCTAAAATAATTGTGATCTGGCAATTGTGTAATAATTGTGACAGACCTAGCTCCAGCCTCAGCAAACACTGTGAACTGACACTGAGACAAATTACTTTATATTCACATATTCTGATATATCAAAACAGACAGATTTGGGACATATTAAGAGAAAATAAGAGGCTTTGTCAAAATGTGTGGTTGTCCAATATACTTCCACTTTAGACTCATGGAGGAGACCTTTTTGTGATCAGTTCTGTAGCAAAGAGTAGTTTTAGCTGGGTCAAACAGCCATGCCATGTGACAGAATAATTTCAGAACCATTTAACCATTTGACTTGAGCATTAACTGTTTTGTTTTTTTTTTTTGTTGTTTTTTTCTATTTTGTGGTGAAAGTTAAACTGCTGATAAGCTCAAGTGTGCGTATAGGTGCTTTAATATGTGCAGTCTTTTTACGGCTCCTGTCATGCCACTATGCCAAAAGAGTACACAAAAATGTAGCTTTTACTGTAAAACCATTTGAGTGCCCTAATACTCCGTTTCAAGCGCAAGCTGAAACCAGATTTGTTTTTTTGCATATATTTTTTAAACCTGATTGTTGGATTTGCATGTTTGTACAAGCGCTCAGCTTATGAGAATTGACTAAAAATTATAAATGTGGTCCAAATTATGATCAGTAAGATCAGATTTTTGTGGTTGGAGTTGAAGTAAAAGAGGAGAAAGTGGTATCAGATTGAACTGGCTGCTTTAGCCTTGGGCACTGGAGTGTTATGCGTGGTATGTGTTGTGGTAGCAGCCTTGAACCACATGATGGGGAATTGCTTTATTAGATATTACAAAGCAGTGTGAAAAATACAACTGGGGAAATTTTATGGGCATTCTGCACTGTGTTTACAAAATAATTGTCATGTAGCAAAGCTTTAAAGAAGACCGTTTGTATCAAGAGCAGCTTTTTGCACCGTTTTTATTACATTTAAAATAAAGTAAATGAGTGAAAACAAGCGGTTGATTGTAGATATTTTAACTTGTTTGGAATGTGAGTGGAACGATGCGCCGTGTGATTCTCATTGGGGGGGGTACGGTCAGTGTCCCTCTCTTTGTATCTGGGTTAGTGGACACATTGAATGAGGGTTTTGTGCTGCTGCTGGAGAAAATGCCCAAGAACGTTTCAAATTCAATTAGCACACAAATGTTCTTAGCTGGAAGAATTTGCAGATGGCCTTTCAACCCTACAGCAATCCATTCAAAGTATGCAGAGAACTGTGTGTGTGTGTGAGAGAGAGAGAGAGATTTTTATGCAAGTATTTAAAAATAATAAATAAAATGAATAAACAGGGTGCAAGATTAGACTATAGAGCTACAGCCAGCCAACAGCCTAAGTAAATGAATTCTGGTATCTACTTTAGAGGGCAAAAACAAAGAAAAAATGTGGAGGAGCACTTTGCCAGTTAAACTTTTATATGAAACAGCCTTTCGTTAACATTCCTAAGGTGCTCCACTGCCCCTGATTTTCATGAAAAAGTTGCATGCAGTGTAAAAAGCTCATGTCAGTTCTCAAGTCATATAACTGAATCAGACCTGAGCAATTGTAGGGACCTTTTATAAGGTAACACATTTCTGTACTGTGAACGTTAGCAGGGGAGACGTGTATTAAATGCATCCAGAACCTTCCATTTGTGTAAAAGCATAGTAATGTAAAGTAATGGCTTTTATAATCAAATATAAGCATTGACTGATGCACTGCCACCCATTGTGTAACCTCACTTTTAACATGAATTGAGGTATAACTACATGCTGCTCCTCATTCTCTTAACCAGGAGAGAAGCAACAAGCTGAGAGGGCAAATATGTAAGAGCAATTCTGTAAAAAATAAGATTTGAGACGACCTGACTCTGATTAGGTAGCATTGCTAACTCAGTTTCGAGATGGTTACTTTAGATTAATATGATAACGCCATCCATGGCCTCTTTTGTGCACATGGAGAATGGTGACCATAGTGGAGGCCTTAAAGCCCATTACTTTCAATTTCTGTGTGTTTCAAAGTTTGTTTTAAACCATCAGAAAAAGGTACTGTGCAGATATGGATTTCCTTCATCAAGCTAGTTTTTAGGTCCAACTGTGTACCTTAAATAAGTTTTTGTCCCCACTTGAAAGATAATGTAATGTATATGTAAATGATCTCTGTTCTAATTGGCTGTTTTGAGCCTTGTTAAAAAAAAAAAAGTCCAGGTTTAAATGCTCTGTATAACTTCAGTGTTAAATGTGAAGGGCTGGGGCTAAACTGCTGTAGGCTGAATAGGAGGATATATGTAAATGTGTTGGTTCTTGTGACATCACAAAAACCCTGAATTCAAAACAGGCTGTTTTTGCAACTTAGTTTTCATACATGGAACAGCAAGTGCATGGTACATTTGAAAAATTTAAGTGTTTATATACAACATCAAACACGTATTTTAAATTTATTTCATTACCTCTCTGGTCCATATATTGTAACTAAACTGCAAAAACAGCCCTTTTTCAATTCATCTTTTTCTGATGCAACAAACACCAAAGCATCAACCTATATCTACCTGTTTAGCCTACAGTTTAGCTCATCCATTCACGTTGAAGTTATGAGGAGTGTTTCACCCCAGGCTGCTTTTTGAATGAGGGCAGCCAGTTGGCACAGAGGTCATTCACATTTATCAGTCTTAAAGGCACAATAACAAAAACAACCTGTTTAAATCTAAAAAAAATAATAAGTTGGGAAATGGTCCTGTGTAAAGGATTTGTAACCGTTTCTGGTACATAAAACTGCAAAAATGTCAAGAAAATGTGCAAGAAAAATGTGGGATATGGGGCCCTTTAAATTATTTGCTTCATAGTACCACCTCCAAAAAATTAAAGCACTTGAATGAGTGCTGTCTGGTTATATTTGTGGAGCACCTTTCAGTGCCACCAAGATTTTTAACTGAATAGTTAAAAAGATGAGAGCGTCTCTCCTTGAGAGATGAGCAGGCGCTGCATATTTATTAATGTGATGAAGCACTATGATTCTGCCTGCTTGAAAATCACAGGTCTGTGCTTCTGTACAGAAATGTAGCTCTCATTGCTACAATGTAAATCCAAATGTTAAGCTTTTTAAGACTTTTCAAACCTGTGACAGTGTTTAGCTGAGTTCCCCTATTTGAGAACAAAGTGGCGAAAGCTTGAATGCAACATTGATGAAACACCAGTGCTTAAGTGCCATATATTTGTGGAAAATATTTCTTTAGTACTGGTGTGTCATGTTGCAGTCCAGATTTCAAACATGGGAGCTGTTCATGTAGACACTATGATGTATTTAAAGGGCCTTTATGTAGCATATTTTTTTGCATATTTTTCCCCTGTGGCCCAATTATGATATTTGTGTGGGTTTATTTACCAAAAAGTTATAATTTGTGTTTTACATGACCATTTTCAACCTCTCTCTATCCCTTTTAATTAAACCAGCTGTTTTTGTTACTGTACCGTTAAGACTGATATAGGTAAATGAGTGGTGTTCTGTTTGATTTTTTCTGCATGGTGATTCATTCAGAAACCCTATAACTTCAGCGTGAATGGGTGGAGCGAAACTGCTGTAGGCTGAAAGGGGGATATATGAAAATGTGATGGTATTTGTGACATCACAAAAACAATAGATTCTAAATGGACTGTTTTTGATGCTTAGCTACCATGTACAAACTGGATGTACAAAGCCCTCGCAGCCTTGGTCAATGAACAGTTCTGTCCCCTCACCTTGTACAGAGACTATATAGTGAAGTTCAGCCATCGCAGTGCATGTTGGCAGTATGTAGTGTTTGGATCCTTCGGTGTCTTCATCCTGTGCCAGCACCAATGGGCAGAGGCACTAAACAAACATAATGAGATAGCATGGAGCTAATCGACAGGATGGATCACCATTGGCTGGGCTCTTGGCTCCCTCCCACATCTCCCCCTCCTCCCATGCATCAGGGCTCCACCATAACAACAGCGGTGATCGAGATTGACAGCCTGTGCACACATAAAGAGATTACGTAGAAATCCCTTGGAAGGCAACACTTTAGGACAGCGAGCATTTGGAGGGCTATAACAGCTGCAATTCAAAGGTTGCCCATGCATGAAGAGAACGTTAGCGCTAGCCCTTCGTAGTAGGGGACGCGTTAACCAATCGGTCACATCAATAAAAGGTCAATGAGCTGTGCAGACGCTCCCGACTGGCCGTCGGGGTCGAGTTTGTTAGGCTGAAAGACCCAAACACATTTGAAAACACACCGGACAGGAACATGGCCGGCCCTGGCCGAAAAGGTGCTTAAGAAGCTGGCAGGCTGCCATAGCCTACCTTCTCCTGATCATGGCTCACTGGAGCTTGTCTCAACTGAACAGGTGCATATCCTCTTACTGCAGCACTATTGTACCAGTGAAGACCAGCCATGCCCACTTCCAGACCCAGCTCTGGTTATGATGACTCATAGG